GTAATATCTACACACTATGTACTGTGTGATGAAGCATTTTGTCGCATGGCGTTCGGAAGTGACTGGGAAGCCAAGGACGCAAATGTATACGAAGCGTCCGATATCAAGAAGTACTTGGATGAGGAATGGGAAAAGATGTGTGAGGAGGACACAAGACCATGAAGATTTATCGCGAACAGGATCTCAGGGACTTTGAATTCTGGGCGGGAGCCCGTGATATTGCAAACATTCTGACCAATGAAGAGTTTGACCGGATCGAACAGATGATTACCGAAACGCTTGATGACGATGTGGTCTCCGAAATGGAGATCAACGATTTCTTCTGGTTTAAAGGAGACACTATTGCCGAGTGGCTCGGATACGACGACGAGGACGCGCTTCTCAACAGAGACAACGAACCGGACGATGAGGAGGACTGACGATGGGATACTACACACATTACACGATTTTTGTATATGACTGCGATGTTTACGAAGCGGAAGAAATAAGGCAGTATCTTGCTGACAAAGCCGGAACACCGTTTGATTTGTGGATGACGAGCGACGGCGCGACGCTCATCTGCCGAGAAGCAACAAAATGGTACGAGTGCGATTCGGACATGATCGATCTGTCGCTGATGTACCCGGAAGCCACCTTCAGAGTTCACGGGCATGGCGAAGATTACCACGATATCTGGATACTGTATGCCAAAAACGGAACGATCGAACATGAAGATGCGCGGTTTGTATTTGACGAGCCAAGCTTTATCGACAGCAAATACATATTCAAAGGGAGCGAATAACATGATTGAATTTTCTCATTCCGTTATCGGATCCATTCATGATGTGTGCATGTATGCGGCGGAAAAGATCTACGGAAACGGACATATGTTTCCGATAGATGTCGCGATCGATCCCTGTGAGCCGGAAGAAGGGGACACGGAAAAAGATGTGCTGTTCAACTCAACAGGATGGTACGGCATCAAGGAATATGACGGAAACTCCTTCGACAATTCCTCGTATAAATCTGAGATCAACATCATCTCGGATTACTACGGTGGCGGATGTTTTCAGGGAACAACGATATATCTCGATTACGGTGTTGAGAACATATGCCAAAAACTTATGAAAATCGTGGAATATATATTTGATTGGGAGGGCTTTAAGCTTGCCGGCAATATCCTGTTTGACTTCATTGATTGCAAGGAGTAATTACATGAGCGCGTATGAAGTAACCACGGTGTGCTACGGAATGGTTCGTAGGTGGAAGTCGCGAAACGATGCGAAGGTGTATTTTGCCAGATGCGTCCGCATGTCAACATGCCGCGATGAAAAGCGAAGGTACAAAAGCATCTTGAGGATGCTTTCGTCAGACGAGGAGGTGTGCGTGGATGACGGATAGGATGGATAAACTGTGTGATGCGATCCTTAGCTACTACAGGGAAGAAGGTGATGAAACCACAACAAAGAACGACATCATGAACATGGTTTCTGTCAGGATCATTTACACGGAACTGCAGGACGAGGTATTGGAAGGAAGACATATCATTGAGGTCAGCCTTCACAAAGGAGACGAATTGGAACTCATTTGCTCGGTTGACGAACTGCCGTACTATTTCGAGCATCCACCCATCGAAGCGATGATCTTCGATTTTGAAACACTCTCGATTGAAGACTGGCTGTCCTTCGCGAAGGATATGCTGGAAGAAAAAATCAACGAAGGTTTGTGGGAGGAAGAAAATGAAATACATTTCTGATGACGGAAAAGTGTTTGATACGCAGGAGGAATGCGTTCTCCATGAAGAGGAACTGTTCAGAGAGAGCATCTGTTTTACATCTGTGCCGTCCAATATCGCGGATATCGTCAACAGCAACATTCGCATATTCTGCATATTTATGCGCAGCAAGAAGGATGTGGAGCGGCTCGCCAAGAGTCGCCTGATCGATCCGGAAGATATCTATTACGGCTCCGGCATACTGGATTCGCTGCCTGCGAAGGTAATGATCACATCGAATGACGGCACTTGGCTTCAGGTAGACCGGATCGAAAGACTCATTGAAGACACCAACAACATCAGTAACGCTCTTGAAGCGTTCAATAAAAAAGTAAACGGAGGAAAGTAACATGAAAGAGATTAGGAGTTATGTAGCCAATGACGGAACCGTTTTCAACTGCAAGTCGAAGTGTGAGCAGTATGAGTACAACAGCAAGATCGCGGACATCGTGGCGAAGATCGGTTCAAAGGGTGCGGATATTACGGAACAGGCTTCCGTGATGACCGGGATCGGCATGCTGCTCAATGGACTCAACAGTGACGGCATTGATAAGCTGTACAACAGCCTCTTCAATAAGGTAAGCACTGCCAACACTCCTGCCGTACAGGAAAATAAAAAGATCGCGATCGAAGCAGTTCGCGACGGAACTGCGGTTTCTGTCGTTGCATCGGTAGACGGATCGGGCAAGAAAAGGGGCGGATACAAATCTGTCAAAATGATCTACGGCGAAACGAAGCCTGTCGTTCAGCGTGGGAAACACGGAAAGCTTTTTATGGACGAAAATTATTTGAGGCAACTATGGAACGAATATCAGACGGGAAAGAGAACGCGAGTATCGATTTACAAGCAGCTTGGAATTTCGCCTAATGGTTTTGATGCTCTGCTCAGACGATATAACATTGATTGGGAGCGTGCGCGGCAATGAGATCAGCAGTTGTTTATTACGCGGATGACGGGAAGATGTTCACAGGCAAGACAACCCGCGAGATTCACGAAGAGGAATGTGACTTTTTGAAGGAGATTGACGGAACGGAAGTCGCGTCCTATGTTGCCGATAAGTTCGGCGGGATCAGCGTCTTTCTTACACGGAACATTGATGAAAGTATCACAGATAAACTGCATGATCTGTATCGTATTGATGTAGAAGATATGTATCTATGGGAGGAGATTGTTCCGGGCAATGAATATGTGATCGTTGTCGGTGAATGCTGGATCGATATCGACCAGGCGGATAGGTTTTACAGCAAGCTGGACGAAACACTGAAGCAAGTACGGAAGTTTATTAGGGAGGATATGTAATATGAAAGAAGTTATGCGTTATGTAGCCGATGACGGAACGATGTTTGAACACGAACACGAATGTAAGAGGTATGAGTTCACGCAGAAGTTCGAGGCTCTGAAGAAAAAGATCGGAGCTGTTGAGCTTGATTCGTATGCCGCAGACGAACTGTCCGATGAGTACACAATGCTGCTTGTAAACAACTGTTCGCAGGAGGGGCTGTTAGAGCTTGAAAAGCTGTTGAATATCAGTCCGGAGGATTATGTCTACGGGCGCGAGAAGTTGGAAGCCGGAAAGGAACTTGTTATCTTCTGCGGATATGACTGGATAACCGTTGCACCGGCGTCTGTGTTCTACAAAAGCCTTACAAAGATGTGTGAAGATGTGAAAAAATTCACCAACGGAAGAGAAGTCTTCTGATAAGGAGTGTGCCGGATGACGATCAGTGATAACAACATCAGCATCTCGGACGATATCATCATCGATAACAACAACAGGATCATCAATTTCTACATTGCTACATCGTTCGATCCTGTCACAAAGTTCCATCTGAAGGAAAGGGAACCGGTCAACGTGTACGCAGACCTCTATCTGGAAGACGGCAGCATCAATGTGTTCGCCTGCGGTCAGCTTAACAAATGCGTCAAGTGTGATCTTACGGATGAGGAAAAGAATGTTGTCACCAGAGCAATGCTGAAGAAGCTTGCGAGTGTTGTAATGGAGGAGGAGTAAATGACATTCAAATTGGTCGTTACCGGGCTGAATGATCTGCTTGAAATGCAGTCCGTGTGCCGCGCGCTGGACGAGAAAGGCATCGCCGATATCAATACAGATATTGCCGTGTCGTTCAATTCTGAGGATGGAACGGCATTTATAAGAACACGATGGATCGCGTGCGCCACGAAGGAAGAGGTTATAAGCCTTGTTCAAACAGTCTCAAATTTATACCAAGACATTGCGTTTCATCTGTGGTTTGATGAAATCGACACAATTAACACGGTGCATTATGTGACAGTTACGGGTGATGAGAAAGGAGAAGTGTAAGCAATGCTGTTCATTTCTGATGATAAAGAGGTACTTATCGGAACACTTGACGAGCTGTGCGAGTATATCATCGACAGCTTTATTTCATCTTCAAAGTTCAGAGATTTTGATATCTCTGTAGAATTCGGACTGCCGGAAGGGCGTCTTCCCAGCACGGGCATCGACTATCATTTCTTTGAAGAGAACGCCTATGAGATCTACGGCATCAAGAAGATGGATCGCTTTGAGTGCGTTGACACAATCGATCTCGTTGGCGACTATTACGGAGTAGGCGGCGCGCTGTCATGTGTCAGCCTGCGGGACATCGGCAGGAAGGATCGCGACAAATACATCGCCGACTTAAAGGCTTTCATAACGGATATGGTCGCAAAGAACAGACCCGGAAAGAAGATCGATTCTGTAATGGCGGTGATGTTATGACGCAGATGACGGTGGAATATGTTGCACGGCAATGTGCAGAGAAGCTGCGCAGTATTGGTCACACTTCAAAACACATCACGCCTCTTGTTGATTTCACACCAGATATCCTTGGAGCGCCGGATGACAGAGAGTGGTTTGGCGTGAATCTCGTCGATGCCGGTTTTGAATCGGAATCGGCTATGCTGGTGATCGATCGCTACGGAGGCGGATGCGCTCATGTTCTGTTTGTCAATCCGGACGATGATCAGGACGATGTAATCAATTCCTTAGCGACAATGATGGTCGATGTGATGAATGCATCAGAAGAATACAACTGGACTATTACAAGATTCAGCACACTTATATTTGTATTTTAACATGCGGAGGGTGTATAATGAGTAACGACAGCTCTTAGTATTAAATTAACTCATGTGGATTACTTATCACCGAAAGGAGTGTTTGTCAATGAAAACCCTTATCATAGGCGCAATAGTTATCTTTCTCGCTCTCGTAGTCGGTTCAAAAGCAGACGATGAATGGTATCCGAAATGGAGAAAGAAGTACATGCAAAAGCTGATCGACGATTACGAAAAGGATGGAAGCTATGAGTGATTTTGTGTATCTTCTTCATTTAGTTATCGGGATACCGCTTGTGACAGCGGCCGGTCTGTCTGTCGTTGCTCTTCTCGTCATGTATGACCATTACTACAAGGACAAGGAACTGGTTGAGATGAGAAAGGGAAGATACGATAATGAGTACAGGATGTACTATCATTTCAAGCGGTTCTATAAGGATAATAGTTCTGTCGTCGGAAACAGATACGCCACGGATATGGATTGGAAATGCGCGTCTTGGTGTACAAACTTTGATTACCTGATGGAGATCACCGACAGTTCGCATCTGATGGCGCTCAGATCGTGGTATGAGTTCCGCAAGGTCTATGAGGATCCGACCGGTGAATATCCCACCATCAGCGGAGACGAACGGCTTGAACGCCTGTATTACGGATTGGAAACCGTAGAGCAGACGATCCTGAAGGACATAACGAATGTGCGGTTCGGCATCAGAAAGGTCGGAAAGAATTGGCGTGATGATACCGATCTGAAGAAATGGTGCAACGGAGCGGGAGAAAGACGCATCATCATCAGCGACGGAGGCAAGCGATATATCGGTATCGAGGGAATATATCTGCGGGCGTACTCAATCAACAGCAGAGAGATGTGTACTGTATGGTTTGATAAAAAACTGAGGCTTGCGATAAACAAAGCCTGCGCTCCGTGTTCCTATACCAAGATGTTCACGGCCTATCTGGATCATTCGCACGGCGATATCATCGTTCCGTATAACAACCAGCAGTTCCCTGTGAACGCGCTGAATAATGAAGAAATTCACATCAGAATAGATTGAACCAAAAAGTTCAAAAATCATTTGACAAACATACAATGTTGTATTATACTCTTATATGCGAACAGATGTTCGTATTGCATATAAAGTATTATTATTAACAGGAGGAATGTCAATGGTAAAATCGGTCGAAGTCGCAACTCTTAAGGATCATCCCAAGAACAATTACTTCTTTGATGATATTGAGGGTGCAAAGTGGGAGGAGTTTCTGTCCTCTGTCCAGAGGAACGGAGTGATCAATCCCATTGTGGTCACATCATCCGGTGTGATCGTGTCCGGCCATCAAAGAGTAAGAGCCTGCCGTGCGCTTGGCATCAAGGAGGTCAGGGCGTTCGTTGTGGACTGGGTCAATGAGGACGACGAGATCCTCGCTCTCATTGAGTCCAATATCCGTCAGCGCGGCGTCGTTAATTCTCCGTCGGTCAAGCTCGGGCGCATGCTGAAGGAGCTGGAAAGGATTTACGGCGTGGAAAGAATGGGAACAGGCCGGCCTAAAAAGTCCGACAATGTCGAAGTTTCCAAGAGCCTGTCCAAGCTCCGTGAAGAACTTGGGGTATCAACGGATACCTGCTGCTACGCAAAGGCGCTGTCCGATCTGCCGGAAGAATATGACGAACTGATCTCCAAAGGAGTCATCAGCGTCAGCACGGCGGCAAGGCTCATTGCAAAGCTGAAGCCGGAGCAGCAGATAGAGCTTTTTGAATCACTTGATTCTGCCAAACGCTATACCCAAAATCAAATCAAGCAGGCGATTGAAGCCTCATTCCCGAAAGCGGATCGGATCGATGAGCTTGAGAGCAAGCTTGCTGAATATCAGAAGAACACCGATGTAACAGAAGTGGAGCTTCGTGATAAGATCAGAGAGCTTACCCAGAAGGAGCGGGACACCTACGAAAAGATGATGGCGGAGCGCCGTCAGCACAAGTCCGAGATCGCGGATTACGAGCGCCGCATGGAACGCATGGAAGAATGTGTTCAGGAGTCTGAAAGCGGAGAGGACAAGACAGCCGAGTACATTGCTCAGATCTCTGATCTTGAGGATGAGAACGAGCAGCTTGCCAGAGACGCGAAGATCGCGAGAAACGATGCCGATCTCATCCTGATCTGTTCAGCGATCAAGTCCCTGTCGGAAGCTCTCAGCGAAGCGGCGTGTGACCCCACGGAGCTGACTGGCGATCTTGCATTGTCAGCTATGAAATATATTTCTGATCTTGAGGATAAGCTCTCCCGGATAACGCGACGATTGTCGGGGAGGGCTGCATGAAAAATAAGTTCAAAAAGAGCAGGTTTATGCTTGCTCTTTTTCATTTGCGCGATTTTCTGAAATGGATGCGTATTCGTATCCGTTCACGCACTTCTGCGATCCGTGCGGAAAAGTTCGTGCGAAGGAAAACAAAAAGGAGAGAAAAGGAACATGACAAAATACGAAGCGCTGCAGGCCGTTGAGGACATGACGGATTTTGTTGATAACATCATGCCTGAATGTTTCGGGATCGCGTCGGACTGGGGAATGAAGTTGACACACGATGACATCTCGCGGTTTTCATCCGCGTTGTATATTGCCCACAAGTTGATCATGAGCTCCGGGGCGAACAGCTTTCATGTCCTCGGAGAACTGGACGGAGAAGAGGAGAGAGAATAATGAGTCATTATCCAATGATCGTGTTTGCAAATGATTCAAGAGACGGAGCGTTTGATGCTTTGCTTGAGCCGTACGGCGAATGCAATAAGGAATATTTCACATTCCATAAATGCACAGAAGAAAAATTCAACCATCTCGTGTCGTTGTATGACGGTATGAAAGACAAGGAATCTTCGTTTGAAGCCTTCATGAAAGGCGAAGGATATGTTCTTACACCTGACGGCTGGGGTTCGATGTATAACGACAACGCCCGGTATGACTACTACACGCTTGACGGTAAGGAATATCTCTTTGACCCGAAGAAGGGTGAAGAGATGGATGACGGAGCGTACCGCTACAGGAAGAGCCAGATCGATTTCAGTAAGTACGCAGAAGAGGACTACACAGAACAGGACGCTGAAGATTACTGGGACGAAGCGATGGAGTCCGGTGACAAGAAGTACAAGGAGTACATGCTCAAGCGGTATGAAACCAAGGAGCAGTATGTCAAAGAGATCATCACGCCGTATCCTTACTGCTTCATCACGCCGGACGGAGTGTGCCACGCCCCCGGTTTCATGGGCTGGTTCGCCTGCGATGATGCAACAGCGGAATCGACTACCAAGTATATCGACGAATGGCTCGCCTATATTTCGTCGGACAAAGACGATCCGTATGTATCCATACTGGATTGCCATATTTAAGGAGGAACAACATGTCTTATTCAAGAGCGCACATTCGTCTTCAGACGCAGGACGAACTGATGAATCTCATCAAGGATCTTAAAAGCAACGATGATAACTATCTCGTTGAGGATTTTGGCGGTATCCAGCGCGTATCCGCGAGGAGCGTGATCGGTATGCTGTATGCCATGACGGATTTCAACGATGATATGTATCTGGTCAATCTTTCAAGCGATGGGAACTTCCCGTCCTTTGTGGATAAATACAGGGTTGGAGGGAATGTATGAACGTACAGCAGATGAATCTGTATCAGAAGCTCGCCTGTATCCGCGATATCGCCGATGTCATCAGGAAGAACAAGTCCGGCTACGGATACAAATACGCCAGCGAGGATGAAATTCTTGCCAAGGTAAAGGCCGGCATGTCCAAGTACAATGTAACGATCTATCCTGAAGTCGTGCAGGACAAGGTCGTTGTGGAACCGAGGGAATATGTAAAGCATAAGTTCGCGAAGAACGGAGACAGGCTGCCGGACGAGGAATGCATCGAGTACACAACAAGGTCTGAAATGCTCATGCATATCGTGAACAACGATAATCCTGAAGATCAGATCATCGTCCCCTGGTATATGGTTGCCACATCCTCCGATACCGCCCAGTCCTACGGCTCGGCGCTCACCTATGCCAACAGATACTTCCATCTCAAGTTCTTCAATATCGCAACGCCGGAAGACGATCCCGATGCTTGGAAGAAGAAGAAGGCGGACGCGCTTGAAAAGGAAAACGCAGAGGCTGTCAAGGCGATCGTGGACAGGATCGACCGTATCGTAAAGGCAAACGCGAATGACACCAATAAGGAAAAGGTCGTTGCGGCGATCAAGAAATTCGTTCACAAGGATGACGGAAAGCCCTCTGCCAACTACTTTGATATCAAGGATATTGATATCGCCAACACTGTACTCGCGGAGCTGATGAAGCTTTTTGCGGATAATAAGGAGGAATAAGCTATGGGTTTCAGAGCAGGTACTTATCTTACGGTCTGGGGAGACGGAAACAATTTCGGCGGAAACTATGAGTGCAAACAGGTATCGGCAAATCGCAAGAACAGGGAAACGGGAGAATACGAAACCTCCTTCCGTGGCTTTGTCCGTTTTGTCGGAAGCGCTGCGGATGTGATCCGTGATGTGCCTGTCAGAGGGCGGGTCAAGGTCGGTGATTGTGATGTTACTTCCTATTATAAAAAGGATACCAACACCACAACATTCACCTTCACCGTGTTCTCCTGTGAAAAGGTTGGAGATGAAAAGGAAAGTAGCCAGAAGGGAAGCGGAAACGCTGCGGCAAATCCCGCTCCGCGCACTGAACCGGAACCCGTAGAAAGTTCCGACGATGACGATCTTCCGTTCTGATGAACAATTATTCACTTATTATGAATGACTGGACTTGGAGCTACTCAAGGATCAAAGCGTTTGAGCAGTGTCCGTACTGCTTCTTCATGCAGTACATTCTGGAATTGCCGAAGCGATCCAATTTCTACGCTGAGTACGGTTCCTTCATTCATGATATCCTGCGGCGGTTTTACACGGGAGAGCTGAACAGAAAGGATCTCCCCGTGTACTACACCACCCACTTCAGAGATTATGTGACGAGCGATGTTTCTCCTAATATTCGCTCGTCTTATTTTATGCAAGGGCTTGATTACTTTGAGTCCGTTCGGTTCGCGGAAACCAATTCATTCTGCGAAAAGGGCGATTTCAGCAGTATCCTTGGCTGCGAAAAGGAGTTCGAGTGCGACATTGCCGGGTACAAGTTCAAGGGATTTGCCGATCTGATCTACCGAGACGGATCGGATATCGTCATCAGAGATCACAAGTCAAAGGTGCTTAAAGCGAAGCTTCCGAACAAGAAGCGCAAGACCGATGACGAGCTGGATGAGTATCTGATACAGCTTTATCTCTACTCCAATATGTTCCGCAAAGCCTACGGTTTCCCTGTGAATATACTGGAATTTAACTGCTTCAGGTCGCCTGTTGTTATACGGGAAACGCGTACTGAGAGCGGCGAAATCAACGCTGTTATGTGGGCAAAAAAGAGCATAGAGAAGATCCTGTCCTGCGAATCGTTCCTTCCAAACATCGATTACTTCTATTGCAAAAACCTTTGCGATATGAGGGATCACTGTGAATATGTCAACGGAGAGTGAATCATGCAGAACAAGAGATACACTTTCACCATGAGAGAGATTATGGAAATCTATTTCACATTTGAGTACGACGACATCATGTCAACGAAGGACTTTGTTGAGTATGTCAAAAGCATCGGATGGGAAATAGAGGAGGATGAAGATGAATGTAAACGACATCAGGAATGTGGAGAGTGAAGCCGGCATCATCGCGTCTGTCATCTGCCGGCCGGACTTTACATTCTATTCAGAAGGCCTCAAGCCCAATCACTTCACTGATCCTCTGAACGCCTATATGTACTACGCGATCTGCGAACTCGCCAAACGCGGCGTGGATAAGATCGACGCGTACAACATCACAAACATCCTGAACATGAAGGAATCAACAAAAAAGATGACGGAATCGCTCACGATACAAACCATCACGGATATCATCGATATGTCCAAGGTGCTTGTCCGTTCGTCTGTTGAGGAATACAAAATGCTCGTGGACAATGTGATGAACGCGGCGTTCAGAAGGGACACATACAACATGCTCGTCCAGTGCGAGAACCTCTGCTTCGATGATTCTCAGGAGGATATCGAGCATAAAATCTATCAGACATTGGACGGAGTTATGCTTGAGTTTTCTACCACATCGGAGATCCCGCAGTTCAGGGATGTGGTGGATTCCTACTGGGAAGAGATCCAGTCAAGACAGGGGAACGGTATTTCCGGCATCCCCTTCAAGTTCCCTACGCTCAACAAGTACGCCACGATCGAGCCGGGAGAGCTGTTCATATTCGCGGCGGAAGCGAAGCAGGGCAAGAGCATGATGCTTCTGAACTGCGCCGTCGATATCCTCAATCAGGGATACTCCGTTCTCTATATCGACAGCGAGTTGAACTCCCGCCTGTTCACATGCCGTCTGCTGTCCCACCTTACAGGAATTGAGTTCAATCGGATCAAGACCGGCAAGTATACAGCGGAGGAAAGGGACAGGATCGACGAGGCGATCGACTGGCTGAAGACAAAGAACTTCACACACAAATATCTGCCCTTGTTTGATGAGCAGACAATCTACACGACCGTGAGAAAAATCAAACACACACAGGGGATCGATGTGTTGATTATTGATTACTTCAAGTCCAGCGGTGACGGAGACGCGTTCGCCACATACGCCGAGCTCGGAAGACTGGTGGATTAACAACTAAGTTCACCTTAAACCCATTGAATTGCTGGAAACCCCTTAGAGCCGATTACGCCAAAGCGAAGATATGAAACAGGATCATGCGTCATGGCTGAAAAAGGAATCGGATTGGGCAATCAGCAGCCAAACCTCGAACAGAGGAAGGTTCAACGACTAAGTGCCGGGAAGCCCCGGACTGCGGTGGGTGTCCGAAAGGATAAAGATATAGTCTGCTCTCATGTGAAAGCATGAGCCGAAAGGGACATGGGGTAGCGCCCGGTGTCAAACAAAAAGATTAGTTAAAAATCGCCTGTGCGGTGAGATGAATATCGCCGGCCTCGGAGCTGCTCAGGCTACGGTGTCCGGTAAGGTAGCGGACTCAGCGAAGATTGGCCGTAATGCCTCAACGATCGCCGTCATACAGGATAAAACGCCTGAAGAGATCGCGGCTGACGGCGTGGAATGTGGGAATAAAAAACTCCGTATCGTGCTTAACAGAAACGGTGGCCAGTCCGCATCTCAGGAGGATTACATTGATCTTCAGTTTCAGGGCAACATCATCTCGTACACAGAGGCAAAGCAGCACGATCAGGAAAACGCATCGCCGTTCTGATCTGACCAGAAAGGAGATTCTCCTCAATGGAGGTAGCCGAATTGGTTTCGTCTGTCAACATCGTTGACTACATCTCACAGTACTGCGATCTGAGCCTCGGCAGAGACGGGGAATACTGGGCGTGCTCTCCGCTTAAAAACGAAAAGACGCCCTCCTTCTCCGTCAACGCGGACGATCAGATCTTCTACGATTTCTCTTCACACAACGGCGGCAATGTCATCTCGTTCATCATGGCGCATGACCGATGTACGATCAGGCAGGCTGTCGAAACACTGAAAAAATACGCCGGAATAGCCGATGATGTGCCTTGTGCGGAAAGACCTTCAGTCTGCAAGATCGCCCGCAAATACACGGAGAAAATCAGTAAAAAGAAGGATGTGTCAAAACGGATCCCGCTCAGTCAGTCCGTCATGGATGCCTACGAGTTCAGGCGCGACAAGCTTCAGCTGTGGGTGGACGAAGGAATATCGTTTGATACGCTGGCCAAGTTCTCTGTTATGTATGATCCGGCGTCAGACAGGATCGTGTTTCCAATCAAGGATAATTCCGGCTCCATCATTTCTGTATGCGGAAGAACGCTCGATCCTGATTACAAGGAAAAGCGCCTGAGAAAGTACACATACTTTCAGCCCATTGTCACATCCGATTTCCTTTACGGCTATTCAGATTGCGTTGACGAGATCGTCGCAAGAAAAGAAGTCATCCTGTTTGAGGGAGCAAAGTCCGTTATGAAGGCATACGAGTGGGGGTTCAAAAATTGCTGTGCGCTTCTCACATCTCACCTCAACAGAGATCAGATGCTCACGCTCGCGAAGCTCAGAGTAAGCTGTGTGTTCGCTTTGGATGAGGATGTTGATATGGCCAGAGACGAAAACATCAACCGGCTCAAGCACTATGTCAATGTGTCTTTCATCAAAAACATCAACGGCATGCTTTCAGAAAAGATGTCGCCGGTGGATGCCGGAGAAAAAACATTCCGTATCCTGTATGAAAGGAGGCAGCGATGACTGCTAATTATGTTCCGTACCATATGCACTCACACGATTCCATGCTTGATTCGTGTACGGATTTTAAGGAGTATGTTGATCTGTGCGTTGAGAACGGAATAAAGGCGATCGCTTCTACAGAACACGGCAAACCGCTGTGCTGGGTAGCGAAAAAGATGTACTGCGAAAGCAAAGGCATCAAGTTCATCCACGGCGTTGAGTGTTACATCGCTCCAACGCTTGAGAAAAATGAAAGGATCGCGTGGCATACTGTGCTTCTCGCGAAGAACTATGCCGGCGTTCTTGAGCTTAACGAACTCATATCCAGATCAACGGATG